AAACAGCTGCAGTAGGCAACCAACCACTTACTACAAGAACTTAAAGTTGGCATGGTTCAGGTCTATTAGAAAGCAGAACGAAAGGGAGCTAAGCCTATAATTTGATGCTGTTTCTGACATAAAATGTAGCACTTTACTCCAAATCTCTTCAAACCCTTAATAGGAACACACGTGTCTTGTGCTTGCTATATTCCAGAAACCTTTTCAGTTTCTAGAAACAACAGATTATTCACTGATCACACTGTAGTGAAAGGCCAATCATGGCCCCTGAGGTAAGGGCTCACCTCTGTCCCAAGCCCTCACACTGGCCTCCAGCCTCAGCCATCTCCTTTACAAATGTGGAAGAGAACCTACATTTCACCTAGCAAGATTAGAACCCAAGGGTGCACTGTCAGCCCCTAGGGGAGGCAGGGCAAAGAAAAGAATGTGAACCTACCACCAGAGTTGCTTTGACATCCAGAGCAAGACCCACTACACATGATGGAAGGAGGGGAGGTTGTGATTACTATCTCATTCCAAGGAGGATCTCTGCATATTCTGGGGTTAAACAATAACCACCTATGGAAACACGAGGAATGATCCTTCACTTTGCTCCACCTTCCTCAAAAACATGCCAAAACTCTTAGAAACCGCACTTGGAAGGAATGACTTGATAACATCAAGTAGTAAGAACCTACTGAGGCTGAAAAGCTCACCAACTGCACTTTTAAACCTCAGACGTATTTCACAGGGTCAAATGATGACATACATAGATTGTTCTGACAATCCATCTAGGGTATGTGCTAATATTACATAAGAAAAATCTATTTTTGTCATCAGCTATATGGATGTTCCGGTGTCTAGAGAAACAGTCTACATGAAGTTAACAAAGAATGATAGTGCTAAACACACTCACGCTGTGTCTGTGGAATTTTGAGCACACGGTGAACATGACTGTCAACTGTCTCAGGTAGCCAACAATCCCATCGGTACTGGGCTTGGTGAACACCACAGAGACCCTACCTCCATGACCTTTTAGTGTCTCCTGGGCCCCAGACAGTGAGGCAGGCACTTACAGTCTCAAGTGCTATTATTTAGCAAGGAGGAAGCTATGGGAGTGCAAGAAGGCAAAGAACAGGTCTTCATTCTACTATAAAAAGATAAAGTAGAAGTCACTCATTAAAATCCTGCAAGCTGGATTTATAAACATATGGTATACTATGGTCGATACTGCAAATGTTCTTATTACCCTTTGCAGATCTACTTTATTATTTTACAGTGTTTTCCTTTGATTTTTTAAAAAGGATTTTAAATAATTCTGTATTAGACTCCAAGAAAACATATTTTACACATACCGCGTTTTACATACACCAAAATTCCTAATTCTGAATATTCTTTACACCCACCCTCTGCCTGGCCCTCCCAGCATAGCCATTATCAATAGACATCATGGGTTACTCCACAAAGACCTAGACCCACGCTGTACAAGCCAGCAGCCACTCACCAAGTGAGGCTATAGAGCACTTGAAATGAGGCCAGTTCAAACTGAGATGTGTTGTATGTATAAAATACACACACATTTTGAGGACCTAGTATTAAAATTAATGTCAAACACGTCAATGATTTTTATAATCATTGACTATGTATTGAATAGTAATATTTCTGAGACATTAGGTTACATAACATACATCATCCAAATCAATGCCATCTGTATCTTTTTACTTATTAAAAGTTGCTACCAAAAAATTTCACCTGGCTCAATTCTATTCTATGAGGCAGAACTGCTCTGGACGACAAACCGTATTCTCTTTTAAAGAAATTGGGACCATCTTTTGTGCTCCTAATTTCAGTTATTTACAAATGGCATCATCTTCCTTGTACAGCTGCTGAGATACAGTTTAATACTTGTCATCTTCTTGTTTCAAAATCTTGTCCCGGTTTTTAAGTAATGTCAGTCCCCTTTTTCTCTGAATGGCATTTTAGAGCTAGAATTACTAACATTACCTAAATAATAACTGACTGTTACCTTGGTCATGAGAAACAGAATCCAAAGTGTTTTCTTAAAAAAAAAAAAAAAAAAGAAAACAGCATCATGCATGTCAAAAGCATGGCAAAATGCCCAGGCTTTCTTCCTGGTCAACATTTCCTCTAAAATCTATTTACTTCCTCATTCTCCTCTGATTAAACAAGCTTCTCCTGTAACGCTAACAATTCTCCATGAAATTTTTCATTTTCAATTTTACTTCCAAAAGTATGCAAGTATTGGGGCTACATCGACAAACAGAACTTCCTAGAGAAATGCATTCAAAATTTCCAAAAAACAGACCTACTGCAAATAACTCATTTTAAATTGATGACATATTGTTATGCAAACGACAGATACACTGAAGTGAGGGGCTAAAGAATGAGAGCAGGCATAACCTGGTAGATTAAATTAAACTGGTACATTTTGGAAAGCTGTGTTTTGTATTTATACATTTTGTAAAAGAATAGGATAAGCAGAGGTATATTTCCAAGAAGGTTTTGCAAGGCCTTAACACCTCAAAGAAGAGGTAGGGCCAGAAAGGAAGAAATGGGCAGAAAATGAGGGAAGGGAATAAAAAGATGTAGGGTTTATTTTTCCAAATAGCACCAATTCTTGGTTATCTGACTAGATCAGAGGACTGGGTAACAATGTGAGGTCAACAGTTAAGTCACATTCATCGCTTCAGGGCATGGCTGTGTGCAAATCTAGAATGAGAATTAGGCATCAAGCTCATTTAGAAGTTTAATAAATTTAATTTTGATGAGACATCTTGTTTAGCATTAAAATTCATGAGACTCCTAGAACAGGTTCTCTGGACTTTTCATTAGAGGGTAAGAAATTTATTTGACAATTTAACTTCTTGACCACCAGAGTAGGAAAATTCATGTCTACAAACTATACTTATGTATCCCAGAAGCTTTCTGAAATTGAATCATTTCAAATTTAGTAGCTGCATACACCGTTGGCTCCAATTAGTGACCTCTATGGGGATTTCTTTTCCTTTGGAATTAATCTGTTTATATCTCTGTATTCATAAAATGAAGAGACTAGTTATTGTGCGCCTTTTTCAAAGAAAACACTGCTAGTGAACTACCCAGCAGTATGATGAGCAGGAACAACGTCACATTCACAACTTAAATTGAGCTCAACATCATTTATATTTCGAACAGGATCAATTCAGAATCGTTTCTCAGTTTGGCTTATTGGCTGTGTGACTTGGGCAAGTAGATTTACTTCTCCCAGCTGCAGGTTTTTTTTTTTTTTTTTTTTAATTAGCGAAATGCAAATACTTCCTCCAGATTTGCAGGGTTTTGAAATGAAGGAAAGATATACGTAAACAAGCAGGTCAGCAGTCTACACAGTAGGCAGACACATTTACAGATCTATGAAGCGTCCTGGTGATTATGTTTCACGGTGTTAATTCTGTTGAGGCTTTGGGTAGAGTTTGGTATACTTCTATCTCAAGTTAAAAATGGGGTTTTAGGCTGGGCGCGGTGGCTCACCGCTGTAAATCCAGCACTTTGGGAGGCCAAGGCGGGCAGATCACCTGAGGTCGGGGGTTTGAGACCAGCCTGACCAACATGGAGACACCCTATCTCTACTAAAAATACAAACTTAGCTGGCCGTGGTGCCGCATGCCTGTAATCCCAGGTACTCTGGAGGCTGAGGCAGGAGAATCGCTTGAACCCAGGAGGCAGAGGCTGCGGTGAGCCGAGATCGCGCCATCACACTCCACCCTGGGCAACAAGAGTGAAACTCTGTCTCAAAGACAACAACAACAAAAAACAGGGTTTTGTTCTCTGAATTCTACTTGAATTCCTCTTGGGTAGTAAAGTTCACATGTGCTATGACTACCAACGGTTTCTAAATGCCTCCTATTGATAAAGCAGGAGTTCTCAAAGGTTCAGGCACTTGTGTTAAAATGCAGAATCTGCATTTTACAAGTGGCTCCCAGGTGATGTCCCTGGTGCTGGTCACCCTAGACAGCCAGGCCACTTGACAGACCTTCTGTGCCTCTACATTGTTGACGACGCGGGATAATTCCTTATGGTTGCACAGGGCAGTCCTGTGCAATGCGGGAAGTTTAGCAGTATCCCTGGTCTGGACCCCACTAGATGCCAGTGACCCCCATCCCTCCAAGCCAGCTGTGACAGCCAAAATGTCTCCTGACATTGCCATTGACAGATGCCCTCAGGGCGGCCAAACCACCAGGTGGAGAACTGCTACCACGTAGGATGCTACCACCAAGGTGCGCCCAGAGCAGCAACCTTGGGGTAAGCAGGCAAGCATCCTCCAGGCTAGTTTGCAGATGGGGAAACTGAGGCTGGGCTTTGCTCAAGGTCGCAATTGTGGGTAACCGAAAAGGGAGCGGAGGTTCCGCCGCGCCCAGCTCTGCAGAGAGGACAGGACGCTGGGCCGCGCGCCCGCTCGGTGGTCCCTAGGGACCGCGCCCACGTGCTCTGGCCCCACTCGCGGCCCGCCGACCGGAAGCGGGTGCTGAGGTGGCGTAGACGCCGCAGCCACGCGCGCCCTCCAGTCCGGACATGGGCCCGCAGGCGCTGCTGGCCGCCGCCCGACTTCGAGTTCGGTGCGGGACACAGAGCGCGGGAGCCCCAGGGTCCCTGCTCAAGCACATCCCAGCCGCGGCCCCCCGGCCGTGATCCCGCGCCGACCGTTCCCACGCCCACCCAGAACCGCCCCCGCGGGAGGCGGCGGCTGCACACTACCCACCCAAAAGAAGTCCGTCCATGTCAAAGATGAGGTGGGTGACGGGCTGTGGCGGGGGTGCGGGCGGGGGAGCCGCCATGGTACCGCCTTCTGGGTCTGCGTGGGGGGAGCGAGGGAAAAGTGCGCGCGCAGTCGCCCGCCCCGCGCACGCGCAGTCAGGGCTTCCTCGCGCGTCCGGGGCCAATCTGCGCAAGCGCTTCCCACGGCCCCTAGCCCGCCTCCAAACCTGCGCGTCCCGGGCTGCCTAGTGCCGCTCCGCGCACGCGCATCTCGGGCTTTCGCCGCCGCAGCAGCTGCAGACTGGGAATGCGGTGCGGGCGGGCGGGCGCGATACGTTAACCCGCATCAATTCCTCCTCACGTCACACCCGGAATCAGGCCAAGCTACTCAGCCAACGGCCGCGCAGAGCCGAGGCCCTCGTCTGGGGGCAAATTCACTGCTTGAGTTTGGATCAGGGGTGTGTATGAGGAAGGAGGGACCGTGCAAGGGGGCTGTCGAGTGGGGAGAGGGGGTTGAAGATTTTCAGGGTGGCATTACTGCCAGCCATCAGGTTGCAGGCAAATGGCCTTGGTCACGGAGGACCCTGGGTGGGTTCGCTCGATCCTGGAACGCCAGCCCCTGGACCATGGGTGGGTTTCTCGGTTTCGCCTGCCCCCACTTCCCTGCGGTTTTGGACCGCGACTTGAACTGGCAGTCGTGCATGCGCAGTGTGCGCGGAGAGGATGCACGACCTCCGTACCTGCATCCCTGAGTATCCCAGGCTGGTGCATTGTCTCAGAGCAAAGCCAAACTGTGCAAGGAGAATGCTGAAATAATATTAATAGTCAACATGTCTTGCTCATTAAGCCTTCTTAGGTGTCATCTGTCTTTTGGGCTGTTCTGAGTTTCTTCCTTTTTTAACTTTTCAAATGCCATCTAAACAGCTTTCTTCCCCCCCAGCACCACCTTTTGCCATAGTCAGAAAAATACTTTTTTGTCCATTTCATGTTTTCTTATGTGGTATATTCACGTTTAAGGACAAGAATTGGACCTTTTGAGAAGCTGAAATAATAGAGTTAAGACTAAAAACGTGAGGGTGTGCTGGGTGCAGTGGCTTACATCTGTAATCCCAGTATTTAGGGAGGCAGAGGTGGAGTTTGGGGGGATAGTTTGAGCCCAGGAGTTTAAGACCTGCCTGAGCAATATAATGTAATCCTGTTCACCACAAAAAGAGAAAACACACACAAAACCAGGTGTAAAACATGAGGGTATATTTCTAGTTTAGTGAGTACATGGTGGGCAGGTGCATGCCTGGATTCAGTAAGAACACTCATCATCTGTGATAGACAAAGTGCCTCTGTGTCTGTTTCCTCCTAGGTAAAATGGAGGTGATAAAGAAGGTGAGGCAGGTTAAGCAAGCCCTTAGTACTAGTGCACAGTACATAGTCAATAAAATTATGTATTCTTAGAGCTAGTACTATAGGAGAGCTTCCCTCATTTAATCCAATCGTGATTTCCCTTTGAGGATACTGGATTTCAGAGAAGACAATTCATGAGCAAATTAGGAAGGGACTTTCTACTCAAATGTAGTCATTTGTGATTTCTGTATTAGTTTGCTACAGCTGCCATAATAATGCATCACAGACTAAGTGAGCTAAACAGCAGACGTGTATTGTCTCACAGATCTGTAGGCCAGTAGTCCTAGATCAAGATGTCAGCAGGCTTAATTTACTGAGGGCTGTGAGGAAAGGACCTATTCCAGGCCTCTCTCCTCAGCTTGAACCTGGCTTTCCTTTCCGCGTGTCTTGTCCTATCGTATTTCCTCTGTGTGTGTCTCTCTGTTCGACTTTCTTCCTGCTGTAAGAACACCAGTCCTATTGGACTAGGGACCACACTAATGACTACATTTTAATTTGATCTCCACTGACAAGATCCTGTTTCCAAATAAGGTCACAGTCTAAGGCAGTGGGGATGAGGACTCCAACATATCTTTTCGGGGAACACAATTCCATAATAGATGCATTCCACACACATTGCAGGGGTACCTACAGTCAGTATGACAGTATTTCCCACATGGAGTCTTTAGAATTCTCCCTCCCAGATTCTTTCCTTTCTCTGGAAACAAATGGATGCACACATGTCAGTGTTACTGTTGTTTTTTTGGTATCATAACCACCTCACATTTCTGTTTAGTCATTAAGTTAAACGAGTATTTTTCAAAAGAAAAAAGGCCCCAGTGCCATGTTGATAAAATGGCAAGGCCTCACAGCAATTGTGGAAGAGACAGATTGGCAAACCTTATGTACTTCAGCTCTCCACAGATGTGAAAACATGGTTCACATCATTTTTTTAGTAAGTCTTATTTTCTACACTTTTCAGTGACATCACTTCAGTGCATAAGATGGAAGACTCCTATTTGCTTAAAAAAAAAAGAAAAAGGCCAGGTGCAGTGGCTCAAGCCTGTAATCCCAGCACTTTGGGAGGCCGAGGAGGGTGGATCACGAGGTCAAGAGATCAAGGCCATTCTAGTCAACATGGTGAAACCCCGTCTCTACTAAAAATACAAAAAATTAGCTGGGCACGGTGGCGCGTGCCTGTAATCCCAGCTACTCGGGACGCTGAGGCAGGAGAATTGCCTAAACCCAGGAGGGGAGGTTGCGGTGAGCCGAGATTGCGCCATTGCACTCCAGCCTGGGTAGCAAGAGTGAAACTCTGTCTCAAAAAAAAAAAAAAAAAAAAAAAAAGAAAAGAAAAAGAAAAAGAAAAAAACTGAATGTGTGAATGCTTCTCTGTCACAAGTTAAATTGGAAAAGAATGAAATTTTGTTCTATCGATGTGATTTGCACACATATAACAAATTAGCTTTTAGCTTTACTTAATTTTCCAAAATCCAAAGATGGACAGCTTCTATGCTGATGAGAATGCATTTCCTTCCATGAATTACAGTTTACTTTTGTACAGTTGTGTTTTCCCCATAGGACAATACCTTACTTTTCCTGACAATTCTAAGATAGAATAGAAATGATCCCATCAAAAGCACGCTAACAACTGATGGAACAAATAAACAGATGATCTTTCACACAACATATAAACTTAAACATGCCATTTATTGTGTGTGTGTGGTATATATATATATATACCATCCTGTATGGAGTAGTAGCTTATCTCAACTTACTTAGTTTGTTGTCCTGGTTCCTGTGTCTCTGTGCTTTTGTTATCTGTTGTATTTGGTTTCCACCCTGCTATATCTGTTTTCTGTGAGCCCGCTTTGCCCCGTTCTTCTCTTTACTTTTCTGGAGTACCAATCTTGCCCAGCATAGATGGAGGGTAACAGGTTGGACTAGGGACCATCTTTCTCAGTGGCTGTCCACAGTCTCTTGTCTTGATGATGCTGAGAAAGCTCTGACTTCCATCTGATGGGGCCTCAGTTTGGGCTCCTCATTGCAGGCTTACCTGCCTGCTTCCCCAGTATAGCTGGCTTAGCAATGCTGACTTAGCAAGTCTCTTGTTTCAGAAACACTGAGTATTCTTACCTCTTCCCACTGCTGGTTTACTCCAAGCCCAGTGAGCTCTGGAAGGGAGCCTGACATAGATGGCTGAATTCGCCACTCCTGGCTTTGTATTCTAGGATGTATCTGGTACTTTTGTGTGAAAAGGGTCATTGTTTTTGAACCCCTTCACCATCAGAGTACAAACCCTCTGAGCAAGAGGTCCAGTTTGATTATCTGCAGTGGTGGAAAACAGACATGGTATGAACTGGCAGTGTCAGCATCCCCTGGGAGCTCGCTAGAAATGCAAAATCCCAGCTGCCACCCCCAGACTGATAGCATCTGCCTTTCAATGAGGGCATGTAATGGACTAGATCATTTACCCCCTCCTGGGGTATACCAGCTACTTCATTGTGGGGAGGGGGCTTAGGATTATTATTTAAATGTAAAGTAGCAAATGTGTTAAGCTTTACTAACATTTATTTTATTTTATTTTATTTTATTTTTATTTTTATCTTTTGAGACAGGGTCTCACTGTGCACCCAGGCTGGAGTGCAGTGACGTGATGTCAGCTCATTGCAACACTCTCCTCCTGGGTTCAGGGGATCCTCATACCTCAGCCTCCCGAGTAGCTGGGACTGCAGGCACCCACCACCACGCCTGGCTAATTTTTGTATTTTTTAGTGGAGACGGGGTCTTACCATGTGGGCCAGACTAGTGTCAAACTCCTGACCTCAAGTGATCCACCTGCCCTGGCCTTCCAAAGTGCTGGAAGTATAGGCAAGAGGCACTGCACCCAACGCTAACATTTAATATTTGTGTGAATGCTGGCGAATGTTCTCGTGTCTTGGCCTTTTCTCTAGGTATCCTTGTGGGGAGGAAGGGAGACATCATTGCTCTCAATCATTTTATTTGATTTCTGCATAATGCAATGTACATATTAAGGTAAAGTGTATTTAGAGCTTATATTATTTACTTTTTAAACCAATTCTCAAAAAATGGACAGAGGGATTAAAGACATGCCTTTGAAAATAATAAAATGTAGCTTCCAGTTAATAACAAGAAAAGAGAAATTCCAGCGTCAGCTTTATAGCCTTCACTAATGATTAAAAATCATGTTTTGTAATATCCATAATGTTACTGCCTAAGTAGACATACACTATTCTAAAATAGCACATATGAAGGGAGGGTGTGTGCTCGAGAAATGTGGGGAAGTGAGGCATGTGGTCAGACTCTACCATGCATTCGAATTTCCTCTCTCCTGCCAGGATTTTCACTGACTGGACATGACTGGACATCTGAGAGAGGGGCTCAGGCTTCATGACATCCCACACTTTATCATCGTATTGTTCTAGGATTTAGGGCTCCTGACTCCAAAAAATTCCTTCCTTGCTTGCCCCACTCTCCTTTTCTTTTTCCCTCCCTTCCTTTCCTCCGTCTCTCTTTCCCTGTCTTCCTTCCTGTCCTCCTCCTTGACTCCCTCCCTCTCTCCTTCCTTCCCTTCATTTCCTCCTTATCTCTTTTCCTGTCTTCCTTCCTGACCTCCTCATCAACTCCCTCCCTCTTGCTTTCCTTTCTTCCTTTTCTCCTTCTCTCCTTTCCTGTCTTCCTTCCTGTCCTCCTAAACTCCCTCCCTCTTCCTGCCCTCCCTCATTCTCTTCCTTTTCTGATTCTCTCCTGATGTTTCCTCTGGCGTAGCCCCTTCCCTCCAGGACCTGTGAGGGGTCCATGTGCCCACAATGAATACAACTAGGAATGTCAGCATCTTGTGCCTTTGCTGTGTCTTGCACCACATTCACAAGGAAGGCTGCCCACTGGCCCTGCCCACTGAAGCTTTTCTACTTGGGTGGAATCACAGCTGGAGCTCACCACACCAAGTGCCGAGTGCTATCTCTAATGAGTGCCTTGCGATGTTGCTGCTTCTGAATAAACCACGTGCTCACCTGCAAGCCTCTTAGTTCCTGTCATATCTTAGGCAAGTTGCTTAGTGCTCTGGTCACTTCTCCAAAGTGTTTATAAATGCCACATGCTAACAGTCTGAGATGAAAGAGTGATTACTTGTTCATGGTTAAAATTGGCTCATTGTTTCATAACTATCGTAATAGCCACCAGCCCTCAAATAATTAGGACCTACAACTTTATAAATTATCTCTTATTTCATTGACTCCACAACTTTGCAAAGTAAACAATGGAATTCTTCTTATAAAAATAAAGAAATGGAGCTTGAGGAAAGTCAGATACCTTGCCACAAGTCACATACCTGAAAAGGATCAGGGTGAAGAGTTCAACCTCTATTGGTCTTCCTTCCTCAAAAAGAGCTAAAAGGCAAAAACTACATTTGGCATTTCTCCCCATGCCAAATGTGGGTGAAGGGGCGGAAGGCAGCAAAACACACTGCCATGTGTGTACCTATGCAACTATCTTACATGTTCTACACATGTACCCCAAAACCTAAAACACAGTAAAAAATAAAAAAGGCAAAAACTATCTATTAATATGTTTTCTATGTGTTTTCAAAATTTCTTATGTTGTAAGTAATCAGGACCACAACATGAACAGATAATATCAAAATCAAACACAAGAATGAATGTGCAAATAAAGGGGAACAAAGTATTCTAGAAACCACCAACAAGAAAACAATAAGGAAAAAGGAAGCTTCAAAAAATAAACAAGAAACTTTAAACATTTGTTTTCTGCAGTTCTGATGTCAGTGTGGCATGTCAGCGATAACATGGTCGAACCAGTCATTTCTAGAATCAAAAGTTTTTGCCTTTATTTTACTTGCACCCAACTCCTGTGCTGCTCAGTGCATGCTAACATCTGGAGGGAACAGAAAGCTGGTTACACAGCCTCTTCCTTCAGCTTCCCCATGATCAATGATCACATAAGCCTGGAAGTGTGCTGAATGGGTTTTTGCCTCCTCAGTCCACAGCCTTGAAACTCTCCCATTTCTGTGGTCAACGATGGTCTTTCCACTTTTTGTTTTGTTTTGTTTTGTTCAAACTTACTCAAGAGGGACCATCACATATGCTCTTTAAAAATAAAGTAATATCTCCCTCAAACACACTTTAGAAATACCAGACTGCTGTTAAGCATAGAGTCCATTCTGACTTACATTCTGCCTCACCACCAACTTTCTTGAACCTGTCATTCAGTAAGGCTGTGGGATTTTTCCAAGTCAGTGTGACACCGAGCACATTGGAAAAGCAGAGTAAATTTACAGAGTAAAATTCGGAGAATGAGAATCTTAGGTACCTCAAATAGTTAAGATTTTCAAGAATCTTAAAGGGAACAGGGTATGTGTATATATATGTATAACATATATACATTATGTAATCTATATAAATATATTGGTGTGATTTTTATAAACTTAAGAGGAAATGCCTTTATATATAACTTAAATATGTTTAGTTTGTGTATATTCATACATTTGTATGTTAAATATTATATTTAATATATTGCAAGTGTTTGACTTTAAGAAAGTTTCGAAGAAAGATAATTACAGTAGGTTCTCACTTAACGTTCTTGGGAGGTTTTTGGAAACTGTGACTTTAAGCAAATCACATATAACAAAACCAGTTTTTTTCATCAACTTTATAACAAAACAATGTTGAGTGAAACAACCTGCTGTATATCGTTCTTAAATTTGCAATTTCCGAGAATTGGCCAAGTAAGGAGGTTCATGCCTGTAATCTCAGCACTTTGGGAGACCATTGCAGGTGGATTGCTTGAGCTCAGGAGTTCAAAACCAGCCTGGGCAACATGATGAAACCCAATCTCTACAGAAAAATACAAAAATTAGCTGGGTGTGATGGCATGCACCTGTTGTCCCAGCTACTTGAAGGACTGAGGTGGAAGGATTGCTTAAGCCTGGGAGGTTGAGGCTGCAGTGAACTTTGATTGTGCCACTGCACTCCAGCCTGGATGTCATAGTGGAGACCCTATCTCAAAAAAAATATTCTGAGAATCTATCGATAACAGTTGTTAAGTGAGGACTTATTGTATATATGATTTAAATGCACTTAATTTATTACATATAGATACATGCATGTGTGAGTTTTTAGTTTTAGCTGGCTCTTGCTTTTCTTTGGATGTATGTGTGGTTTTAACAAACTTCAGATGAAAGGTCTTTATATATAACATGTGCATATATATATTTATATATAATTGCACAGGTTTGAGAGTTGTTTAATAGGCTAAGTGAAATAGATGAGTCAAACACATACAACAAATGTATTTTGTTCTTTTGTGGGCACATTTCAATTGAATATGTTTATTGGCTGCTGTTGTATTAATGTATAAACAATAACATTTGGAAAGCATCTATTTCAAGTCAATTTCCTAGGGCCATTTAAACCACTCTGGAAGAATCTTAGAGGCGATCAATTTCCATGACTCCTTCCTTCTGGAGTAAACTAGGATGCCAGTTAAAGAAAGGCAATTTACTAGTACTTGGGTTTTGGTTTAATAATAAAGCTGTAACTTGAAACATGGAAATGCAGTATAGCAAGGAGAAGGCTGTGATTAAATCTGCTCCTGAAGAATGGGAAGTGAATGATAATTAAAAACCACAAAGATGCAAAAAATACCTACCCAGAAACTATTCATAATTTTTTGTGCTCCTCCTTTGATCTACTTCCAACCATGTTCCATGTAACACACATAGGAGGAATTCTGGGGTTTTCCATGTGTTTTTGCCCTTTCCTGTGCCATAACCTTTATTTTAATAGAGGAGGGTCTCCAAACCAGAGATTTGAGAGAGTATTTTAACATTTCTAGACTTTATGAAGCTGGAAAATGGCTTGGAGGAGAATAGTTGAGCCCATCCTGAATGTATAAGAGCTCACTGCTGTTTATCTTGTGCGGCTGTGGATGACACAATAGGAAGACTATCAACTGGATTCTGGGGCTCCAGGTCTCTTCCTTCTGCATGTCTAAGAGGAGAACCCTTCTGTGAGTACCGTGTTGCTCTCATCCCACTTGCCCGATTTGCATTGAGATGCTTGTTCCTTGATTCAGGGCCCTAATTATCAAGCCTCCATCTTTGCTCATGCAATTGCTGTATGTTGAGTCTTTGAGAGTGAGTGTTCGCTTGCTAATCTCTGATTGCATGTGCCCTTCTTCTGTGGGACTCCAGGATTTCCCACCAACAGTCTCTCTACTGGGTTCTTTCTGTGTAGTGGCCCAAGTATGAAGACGTGCCCAGTGTTAGCTTGAGGGTTCCTGTGCAATGCGTTTGATGGTTGGCACAGTTATAGGAATGTCAAACATCAGACAGGATCAACCATGAACAATTTCATTAAGCATCTACTGGGATTCATATACCAAAGTCTGTGCTTTTCATGATCTTAAAGCACCGTGGTTTTCATAGCTCTGTAAAGTAAAATATTTTCACTTCTGTCTTCTCAAAATTGCCAAAAAGGATCATCTATTTCTTTTTGCCAGGCACCATGCCCTGGGACATTATATCTAATCAATAAAGGGTTATTGATTAGAGGGGCTTGAGATGTATACTTCTACCTGCCTTACTAGTGAGAAAGCTAGTGACCCAAGTGATTTGAGCACTTTTTTGAGGTCATACAGTTAGTGGGTGCTGGGATCGGAATGCCATGTCTGTCTGACTCCAAAGTCCTCCATCTATATAGTAAGATAAATTATTCTGGGAAATATTTATTGTAACAGGATACTCATTTGACAGCATCGTGAAATGAGATGCAAAAAAATGGCATCCTATAGGAATTTTCCATGTAGATAACCACGAATGCTGTGGATCTCTGGCCTCACAGCAAGAAGAGAAGTAGGGGCATCTGAAGAGGTTTCTGTTTTATAACCCTGCCTCTTCCCCAGTGGAGTTAGGCTTTTTTTTTCTTGTTTCCTAAATGAAATAAAAACAAATGACATGGCGTGCCTCTCTCTTGGCCTCAGTCCAGTGTGGAGGCTTCAGCAACACTCCTCAAAGAGGTTAGTATTTGATTGTGCATCTCTTGGAGGACCTAAGGGGTTGGCACCTGACCCCGCCTGATCTGCTCTAGAGACTTGTGAGCTTGAGGGCTAGGGGGAGTTGATTTAGGTTGCACTTCCAGAGTCCCTCAAACAAATATGCATGACTAGATAACCTTAATGACCAGCTAGGGATTAACAGGAGGAAAACTTTGGACTTTTGCCCACAAAATCTGCTGGGGTGAGGAGGAGACTCCAGCAGAGAGGCACCACTGGAAAACCAATTGGAGGGAGAGACAACATCACCCACATCTCAGGAGTTGCAGATCGGGGAGATTCAGCTTGGCTGGCTTCCAGGAACTTAAGAAAATGCCCTCCAGGTTTGCCTGAAATCTTCTCATGACAGCACCAGTGAGAGAAGAACCTCCTGCTCCTTTTTGCTATCTTTTTCTGCTGTTCTCCAGGTGGAGGGATCGGTAATCACAGCAGGGGAAATGAGGGAGGAGGACAACTGAGAAAGCCTGAAGCTTCTCTGTATGTGCCCTCTGTTTCAGAACCATGAAAAGCATGCCTTAGCTGGGGGTAGGATGGAAAGGAAAGGAAGTCTTACCCTGGAATTAAAGCTGCAGAGATTTAGTATTTCACTTGACATTTAATTTTGAGCTTGAAAGCATTCAGTGACCAGAAACGTCCTGTGATGTGCTAGAATTCTGACCACTAGTGGGTATAAGACATTTCAGCAATTAGTAAGTTTTATGGAGACCCTGAGAGACAAAACATTGCCTTTTGGTAAAATCAGAGTCATATTTATTCATGTTAAAATACTTTTCAGATTTCAACATGCTCAAATCCTTGTTATTATTAAGAATAGAAAATGGGCTAACACTGCTACTTTATGTGTTATTTGAGTGCCTACTGAGAGCAGGAGGCATACAAAATAATTAGAAATAAGCAATGTTTTATTTACAGAAGCAGAATAATGAAAGCAAAGACTCAGATTGGGCTTTTTTTTTTTCTTTTTTCCTTTCCTTTTCCCCAAATGCTGTAAAAACAAACAACACGTGGAAACAACCAAAAGAGAAACACAAGACATTATTTTTCCTGGGGTATGATTTTCCCCCAAAATGTGTGGTCAGAAGACTGCCTGTTGTTTCATCAGCATTGATGGGACACCTCCCTGCTGAGTGGTAGCCCTGATCATTGCCCAACCCTGTGGTGTTGACACAGAGAATGAATTCCTTGGGGCTCTTGGCACTGTGTTGTATGTGTAACTCACTTAACAAACAGGCTGGCAAGGTTTAGCTACATCAGGCTCTCGACAGATCATTCAAAACAAAACCCTTGCTCTTCTCATCCTAAACCCATGTCCTATGTTGTTGTTCATTGAAAAAAATAATCATCACTCCCTGTCTGGCCCATCTCGCCATTGTATAACCTCCCTCTTCTTCCTCAACACATGCTCCCTTTCCTTGCTGTGCACCATTCAATGCAAAATTCAGTGCATACAGGAAGTGCTCTCAGTGAACCCCTGACTGTTTTCCAGGTCAGAGAGTCAATAGGTGAATACGAATTGCAGTTAAGTATTCAGGGCTGGCACCCAAAGCTCCTCCAAAGTGATGAGTTGGTGAAGGAAGTCCAGCTTCCCTCTGAGTGATGTTGAAAATGTGTGGGGCACTGGGGGAGAGGAAGGCCAGGTGGAGAAATACATGCAGTTAAACAACTTTTTATGATAGATTTGCGGATTACTCAGTGATGACTTTATTGCTAATGATGCTCAATATAACTGCCCAGGCCGTCAAATGATTATTCACAGATGGTGAGCGTTCGGCTGGGATGCTTGTCCAATGTGATGGTGTGAAAAGCTGTTTGAGATCCTTGAAGGAGACATACAAAGTGTCTGAGTCTCCCAGTAAGGAACCCTCTCTGAAAGCCTTGTGAGAACTGGTGAGTTACATTTTTAATATACTTATTGTTCTTGCTTCTCTGTGGCTAAAATATTGAGATACATGTTGACTACAGGGAATATTTACTTTAGTTGCACTGCTACAAAGGAAGTCCAAAGGTTTCTGTTTCTTTCCACTCTTGAAATACCTAAAGAGCAGCCTGGTAAAAGTTAATTGAATACGTAAAAGAGCCAAGTCTTTGCTCTGGGAGGCAGAGTTTTAAATTCTCTTATGTGGGACTAATCAAAGTTTGTACATTTTTTTTATCTGTAGTGTTACATTAAAGAAAATATCTGTAAAACCACCTATAACAATTTATCTAATATGTTTTCATTGCTCATTTTCCCTGAAACAAGGCTGTCTATAGGAGAAGAAAGTAATTGCCAAATAGTTTGTCTTTGTGGATTAGAGTGGTAATTTGAAAACACAAGCTTGGTATAAAGAATATTGGAGTTTAGAGGAACGAATCCTAAAAGGAAATGAGCACATGAAGTGGTACATTTTGTGCTATAGTTTACACAAAAGAGAAATTAAATCAATTAACTTAATGTGTGTAAATATTGGACCCACTGCTCCTGTGTTAGATACAATGTCTGTACAGGAGATGTCTTTGCCATCCATTGCATTCCCTGTAAGATTGGCATAGTTTTAAGCTTTCAATTTACTGCTTTTCTAAAGGATAAATTTCAGAGGGAATTAACAGTTTCTTCACTTTTTTCCGTTTTAAATATACAGGTTCAATATCTATAATGTTCACCTTAAATATGGATCCTAAAGAGTAGAGAAAGAACATATATGCCTACCTTCTAGAGGGGCATACACATAGATCTATGAGTTTGTCCTCAGGACCATGCATGGAGTCAAATGTTTTTCTCTGTTTTTTCTTTCTTTAAGATGGAGTCTCAGCCTGTCTTCCAGGCTGGAGTGCATTGGTGCAATCTCAGCTTACTGCAACCTCCACCTTCTGGGTTCAAGCAATTCTCCCACTTCAGCCTCCTGAGTAGTTGGGATTACAGGCACGCACCACTGTGCCCAGCTAATTTTTTTTTTTTTTTGTATTTTTAGTAGAGATGGGGTTTCGCCATAGTGGCCAGGCTGGTCTCAAACTCCTGACCTTAAGTGATCTGCCTGCCTCGGCTTCCCAAAGTGTTGGAATTTCAGACGTGAGCCACTGTACCCAGCTGGAGTCAAATGTTTCTTAACAGACTACATTGGTTTTAAAATGTGGTGCTTATCACTGCACTTTTTACAGTGTGCTTGTCTATGTATGATCATCTCTATAAGAAAACTAGGTTAACTGAGGAATGAGTATATAGTTTAGAGATCAGCTACTGTTTTCTGAAAATTTTTATTAATTGAAGAAAATGGACATCCAAAATCAATTTAATTTTTGTAATGCATTCTGTACGTAATCTAGTAATTTTAAACCAACCAAGTGGATGATTTTTCCCCCAAAGAGAGATGCTAAGAAATTCCTTTGCTCTCTCTCAAGTAAACTGTTATCTTATGAGCGGTTATAATGAATTAAGATGTCCAGTTCTTGCTTACTTTATTTCTTATCAGAGTATCAACATATTTCATGTACACATCAGTTTTGTCTTCTGTGCCAACGTGAGCAGATTGAGTTGGAGGAATGTTAAAAATAATTTTCACTTAAAATTAATATCACTAAATATGTTGAAATTATGTTACAGAAAGTTTGCTCCATTTCGTGTCATTTACTGCAGGTATTCTTTGTTTCAAGGAGCACATGATAATGTTTTACTGAATACCCTGTGAATTGATGTCTATAGTAACATTAGTATTTGCCAACTGAGAAATTGCCCATATTCATGTATAATGAAATTATCATATCACAGCTGATATCAGGAGACCAGTCTAAAAGCTTTCAGTGCAAAAAAGATAATAATGACTCCTGTTTGCATTAAAAACCTAAATAGTAAATGTTAGTTGGGCATCCCTTAAAGGGTTAATAAAATGAGCATTAAGCATTTATGGCTAAAAATCCTAAGCCATGCTTTCCAGACCAGGTTCTGTTACCATTGTTTTGTTTCCATCTTATCTTCTCCTTAAAATTCCAGCCTTGTTTGGGAATTAACCCCTGTCAAACTTGGCCACTGAGTCAGCAAGCAATTCCCCAGTGCCCAGGGGATACAGGTAACAGAGGACGTGGCAATGATGAAACAGAAGACCAGTCTCACCTCGGGTGTTGTCTATGAAGGAAAACAAGCAGTATAAATACTGCAAGTACCAATGTCAATAATAATTAAATGCTTATTATGAGAAGGAAGTGCAGGGCAGAGAGTTGGCACTGGGCTAATTAGGAGTAGCACCTTCAACTGTGAGGTCTGGCAGAAAGCCCGGGGGATGGAAGAGAGATGGCTTATGGTCCCAAGTTCCTCTTGGTGGTTCCAAGACTAGGAGATTTTTAGTTTAGAGGTAGACTGGGAGGTTCTCTTTTATGACAAATTTGTCTACCCAGCATTTCCCCACGGAGGTGCTGTTGGTACTTCGGGTGAGTGATTCCTTGCTGTAGTGGCTGTCCAGTACATGGTAGGATGCAGCAGCTCACAGTATCTCCAGATGTTGCCAAATGTCTCCATGTACATAAAATCGTCCTCCCAGATGACAGTCTCTGGCTTGAAATAAGTGTTTAAAATGTGTAAGAGAGAGCTTACTTAGAGCAGGGTTTGTCAGCCTCAGCACTGTGGACATTTGGGGCTGGGTCACTCTCTGGTGGTGACTGTCCTGTGCACTCTAGGGTGCTGGGCATTATCCCTGGGCTCCACCCACCAGATGCCAGCAGCACCTCCCCCCACACCCCCACCTCCCACCCACTGCTAAGTTGTAACATCCAAGCTTGTCTCCAGATACTGCCAAATGTTTCTTGGGTTGCAAAACTGCCCCTTGTGTAGAATCATCAAATTGGAAACAGATAAGAACTGGTATCTGGGGTCATGGAAGAGGTGTGGAGATCACCATTTTGAGTCTGCTCTCAGCTCTGTTTCCAGCTGGCCAGGCAGCTCTGTGTTTTTCATGGAGCCTGTCACAGCTGGTTTGACCTGGGTCACTAGGCAAACATTCCCTAGGTCTTGACCTGTCACCTCTTCTGCCTATGAGGACACTCTGGAAATATCTACATTCAAGTGACTTGGCCAAGGTCCTGTTCAGCATAGGAGGCTTTTCCAGCACTTGGCTTCTTAGCCCACAGGACTTTACCACTTCTTTTCAAATGTTACCTTCAGAAATGTAGGTTTGCAATCCTTTATCCATAACCAAAAATAGAAGAGAAAAACATTGAAAACCCAGAGTTTTTGTAACATACTTGGCAGTAACACCAGCTCAAACCAACTAACACAAAACTAACATAAAGTGAAAAGTCTTCATTCAGCCCACGGAATGTGGATATTCATTTTGTTTCACTGCAGTTTTTTTTTTTTTTTTTTAAGATAGGGTCTCACTCTGTCACCAAGATGAAGTGCAGTGGCTTGATCCCAGCTCACTGTGACCTCTGCCTCCTTGGTTCAAATGATTCTCCCACCTCAGACTCCCTAGTAGCTGGGAATACAGGTACCTGCCACCATGTTCAGCTAATTTTTTGTGTGTTTTTTGGTAGAGATTGGGTTTTACCATGTTGGCTAGGCTGGTCTTGAACTCCTGACCTCAGGTGATCTGCTTGCCTCAGCCTTCCAAAGTGCTTGAATTACAGGTGTCAGCCACTGCGCCCAGCCTCACTGTAAAACCATTAACATGGGTGACCACAGGCTGCTGTCCAAGACTTTGCTTGAGCTGTCATATATGACATGAAATATTCACCATTACATTAAAAAAAAACCCAAAACATTCTGCATTCTCAAAAGTTTCCATGTCAAGAGTATGGACCTGAGAACATAATTGTGAGTGGAAAAGGTTCATTCTTAATTTCTTGTGACCTTGACAGCCCAACAATGATGGTGCTGTTTGTTTTTTGGTTTATGGTATCATCATGTGCTTCTGTGTGTCCTCAGATGCAACTCCCATTATGTAAAACCTCCTTCCTTTTCTGTACTCTCTTAGCTTTTGAATAACTGAGAACACTCAGGAACCGAATAGCTATGCCATTTGGTTCTGGGCTCAGTTGTAAGTAGCTCCCAGACCCCACTTCCTAGCCAAGTACCTAAGATGCAAAGAACCATTTACACAAATCTACGTGAGGACACAGTGACCAAACCTGGGGCCTCTATGGATTGGGGCTATTCAACCAAAAAAGTATTTCTTAATTTCTGAAAGGCTAGTTTTCATTAAAAAAAAAAAAAGTCTGAGTATGGTGGCTCTCATGCCTGTAATCCCAGCACTTTGGGAGGCTCCAGTGGGTAAATTGCTTGAGTCTAGGAGTTCAAGAGTAGCCTGGGCAACATGGCAAAACCCCATCTTTACAAAAGATACAAAAAAAAAAAAAGAAGAGTCAGGCATGGTGTTACATGTCTGTTGTCCCAGCTACCTGGGAAGCTGAGGTGGGACTGCTTGAGCCTGGCAGGTTGAGGCTGCAGTGAGCAGTGATTGCATCGTTGCACTCTAGCCTGGGCCACAGAGCAAGACTCTGTCTCAACAAACAAACAAACAAAAACAACGACCAAATCCTTATTTGGTTTATTAAAAAGAAAGAAAAGTTGTTCTTTTGTGAGTGTGGGTACGTCTGGGACAGGGTTTCTCATCCTCTGCACACTAGATTTTTGGGGCTGGATAATTCTGTTTGTGAATGGGCTGTCCTGTGCAGTGTGGGGTGTTTAGTGGCTTCGCTGGACTGTGATAGCCAATATTTACCTCTCAGCTGTGACAGCCAAAAATGACTGCAGACATTATCTGATATTCCCTGGAATACAAAATCATCCCTGGTTGAGAACCACTGGTCTAGAAAAAGCATTTTAAAAGTAGTAATAAGCTGGCCATGGTGGCTCACAGCTGTAATCTCAGTGTGTTGGGAGGCCAAGGAGGGCGAGGAGATTGAGACCAGGAGTTCGA